GCATGGGTGCTCTTGCCTTTATTTTGTACCACTCTTTATCTCCGTCAAGGAAGCTATGTTTTGGTCGCGTTCGTTAGTGCTTGTTTTTACCAGAGGTGTCTTAGCCTCTAATTTAGATTCCATTAAAAATTGTTTTGTCCAGCCAAGGGTATGTTTACGGAAGCCTGTGTACCTGAGAGAGGTGATTTGAATGTAATTCTTTGAGTATGATTTTTTTATTGGAACATTGACCCTATCTGACTGCTCCTGGGTTTGAGTAAAATCATGTCCATTGTTATCAATCACTTCCATGTTCAGTATTTTTCTCAGGAATTCGTATGTCTATTACACAGTTTTCTACAATACATTTATCGAACACTGTTTTTAATGTTATTAAGGCGATCATTGTTTTTATGCATATTTTAGCTTGCTGATTATCTATTTAAACTTTAAAGGTTCATATGCATTCTTTGCTTTATATAACATAATCACATATTCATTTATATATGTAATATACCGTCAACATAGCGAACCGTATTATAATCACGTATTATAATATCCAGCTCTTTTAACCAGAGGCTTTATGATTAACAACGACCTATCGTGGGCCTCCATGTTTTACTGCTCCGAAACACCTGCTCGGACACACTTCGCAACAGCTGTTTTCGTTATCGTGCGTTATCTTCTCTCGGATATACAAGCTTGAATATATACACTTTTTTCAATTCCCTCAACCTATTTTTATCCTCTAGTTGAGAGTCGGACTCCGTTGTGTGTAAAGGTGCGCTTGGCGACACTGCCGAGACTTCGATCCGCAGGAGGTGGCGACTGAGGACTCTTCGTCGCGGGGATGTTTGAGACGCAAGAAAAGTGAGTGCAGTGTTCGTGCTTTGTTTTCCTTTCGTGTTTTAATTGCGCTCGGGTTTATTTTATTTCATATGTTTGTTTGTTGGTTCATTTGCGTATTATTTATAATTATTTATCCATTCATCTATTCATTATTATCATTTTCATTTTCTTTCTTTTTGAGTTCGTGTGTGTGTGTGTGTGTGTGTGTGTGTGTGTGTGTGTGTGTGTGTGTGTGTGTGTGTGTGTGTGTGTGTGTGTGTGTGTGTGTGTGTGTGTGTGTGTGTGTGTGTGTGTGTGTGTGTGTGTGTGTGCGCACATGTGTGTATATTTGTTGTATCTATAAATTTACATGTTTATCAATCTATCCATCCATCTATCTAAATGGAAATCTTAACCTTAGTCCTATATATTTTCCCGACACACTTCTCGTGAAGCGTAGCGCCACATGGTAACACTGGGTCTCTTCAACGTCACAGCGGGAATGTAAACAAAACATCCGACTACGATGATGGCATCAAACCTTAGCTTAGTATTGTCATTATTTTTTGAAAAGTCATGTTTCGAATCAGTTGATCATACATAAGCAATGATAGTTCATGAATAATATTTTTTTTTGGTAATGTGGCACAGCATAACATTCACGCATTGTTTTGTGTGTGAATTTCACAAATCATAGGTTTAAAATACGAACAATTTTTAGTGGCCAATTTAAAACTCGATCTTGCCGTTCACAATGAACAATATTTTAACTTGAGTAACATAATTGTGAAATGATTATTTGTTTATATATTTTATTTTGTTTTTAATAGGGTGAACTTGACTGATTGAAAACTGAGTCAAGGTCTTTTTTAGAAAGGGGCAGTATCGCGATACTCCCTCCCTCTCTTTTTCTCACTCTTGTCTCCCTACCCTCCCTCCCTCCTCTCTCTCTCTCTATCTTCTCTCTCTTCCCTCCTTTCCTATCTCTCTCCCTTTTTCCACCCCTCCCCCTTCTCTCACCCTCTCTCTTTCTTCCCTCCCTCTCTCTTTCACTACCCCCCCCTCTCTCTCTCTCTCCCCTTCTCTGTCTCTGTGACTCTATCTCTCCTTGTATGCGTGCGTGCGTGTGCACGCGTGCGCATGGCGCATGTGTTATTGTAAGAAGACATCCATGATTAATTAAGCCACGTCCAGATCTCCTTCATTGAAAAGCTTGATTACAATTTTGACAAACATACATTTTCCAGATGTGCATGGGAGAAATTGTAAATGCTGCAAATATCACGAAATGGTCACCATAAACTAATATTAACCGGAACACATTACAGGCGCTAAACCTTTCTTCGTCGCCACTCTCCGCCCGACGGGATCACGAGCAGTTGCTGAGATGCGTGCGGGCGGGCGGAAGCGACGATGGGTTGGCAAAGTCGTGTCTTTATTAAGTGCTTTAGTTATTGGATCTTTATTTTTTGTTTTTGTGGTTATTTGCATGTAGTTTTTTGTTAATTTGTTTGTTCATTATTCATATATATTTATTTATTCGTTTCCTTTTTTTGTTTATTATTTTTCTTTTACGGTATTTTGCAGTTGGCTATAATATTCGTGTCAACGGTTAGGGATACCTTCAGATCTGACTATTTCTATGATAATTCCTCCGCGAGCAGTGGATTAATACTGAGGCGACTGATGCAGC